TGAGAATCTCATGAGGAGTTAGTAATTTAAGTATCCAACGAAATGATTCTTAATAAGAAAAGCAAATGCTTCATCCATAGTTGTAATCTGATCGATGAGCTTCTGGTAAAAGCTAATTCCATGTGACTGATTGAAGCACCTCTCCTGCAGTACATTTCGTAGCTGGTTCTTGACTATTCCTACGTCGGCATTTTTTGAGAGATCTTGTATCAGCTGAAGGAGGTTGTCATATTTTTCTTGTAATTGATACGCCTGATCTGTTAGTACCTCTGATGCTTTCTCTACCATTGAAGTCATAACTGTAGAAAAGAGAGGGTATGGTGGTATGAAAGGGCAGTGAGATTGAGAGAGAGAGAGAGGTGTTTCACATTGATTTTATGTGTTAGTTAATGTTTCTATGAAATCAACAAACTCCATTTTACCTGTGGTTGTGCTCCAAGCAGGTGCTGTATAAGTTGATGATTCTTTTGCAGGTCCTGTATTTAATGAATATATTGATTATAGGCATTACATTTTTCGCATACATGCATTTGTTGCTGTTTGGAATTTATTGGTCTAATATAGCATGATACTGAAAATTATATGTACATCTATGCACCTTTCTTTTATTTACCTATTTCAGTACTTTCTGTAGTTTTAGATGCTTCCTCCTTCACTTTTTCTTCATATTCCTGAGCCATTCTGTCCTCTCCTATTACTTTGAGTCTCAGTGCCTCAACCAGTTGATTGTGACTAGCTCCTGGTTGACTTGCAATCCAAAGACGAAACATTTGTGTTCTTTTATCTTGTGTCTCAGATTTTTCACTTTCTATATCATGGAGCATGTCTGAGTCAACTCCTAACTGTATGCCCAACTGATGCCATCTGCTTGTCCTCACTATAGCACACATAGTCTTCAGATCTAGTTTACCATTCATAATTGAGAGAGGAGAAGCAGCCATATAACTTTCAGGCTTTTGGCAACCGTCTTCTTCAAATGTCTTGTCTTTCAGAAATGGGAGTTTTTGCATGTTTGACTATTGCAATTGGGCATAAAAGCACTTCATACCATAGTGCCATATATAGTAGTATTAAATTAGTGTAGTGTAACAGTATTAGTGTGGGGATGTCAATCTATGTATGTGTAGTAAATGTTTCAAATGTTTTGTAAATGTAGTAAATTAACCTTTGCTTTAGCATTCATTGCATTTGTGGCTTCCAAGCGTATCATTAGCTTCAATACCAATCTTAATTTTGCTTAACGACAGGTAATGGCTCTGTTTTTATCATTTTTGTAGATGTGTATCATTTTATTAAGAAACGACATGTTGAACATTTTTATGAGGCATATCATTCTCATACTGGCAAACACCATCCACTGTCAGTAGTAGAGGTAAGAGAGAGAGAGAAACTGATTTAATTGTTATTATTATTATTATTATTATTATCATCAATAGGTAAAAAGAGAGACAGCCAGGAGCAATGTGATGATGAACGATTGAGAAAAAAACTCTAAATCAAAGTTACTTTATTATTATCTATCTATGAAATTTAATTATATATACATGTACATAACATCCCTTATAGAGGATGCTATGTATTTTCATTGTCAAAAAATTAATACTTCAAATTTTGGATTTTAAAAAATTATGTAATGTACATGTACATAGCTCTACATTGGAAACAGTAAAGTCCTCATAATAGAGTAAGTTTAAGATTAATTTTATTAAAATTACAATTGTTTGTGACAGCTCATTCACAAAATTGATGTGCAAATACTTAATCTATGAAAGGTACATCCTTATTGTACTTATTTGGTATCACTTTTTAAAATACAGGAAGCTGGCGTGGTTTGTTGATATCAGAATATCTTTAAACAAGGTATATTTATTATGAGTTAATGTTGTTATTATTATTAATTTTTATAGGCGCATACATGTGTACCAGTAAAAGAAGAAAAAATATCACTTAAAGTAACAACTACCATGTACCGGTATCTCCCTGTTAAAATAAGTGGGTGTGGTTTGTTAGTAGAGCTTATGTTTTACTCAGGCTGAAATTTTTTGAAATTTTGATGGGCCTACTGCAAAACTGGATGCATGTAAGTAACAACTATATACCTATACCTCGTGTAGGTGAGGCTAATAATTTTGCAATATTTATGAGCAGCATGCAGGAAATTATTCAAATACTTATACATTTATTTGTTTGATCATTAAAAATACATGTACATGTAACCAAAAAGTCACTCATGTTTCACTATCAATACTGAGGCCACTGTCTGTGCTTGGAAAAGATTTTTGAGAATCCTCAAGTTTTTTTGATGAGACTTTTACTGATACTTTTCTTCTAATTTCTGTACTAAGTACTCTTTCAGAAGTTCTCTTACGATCCTCTAGTCTTTCCTTCATTTGTATTTCTGACTTAAGTGAATCAATTTCTTCTAAAAGCTGTTGAACTTTATCTTCATAGGCTTTACTCTGTATAGAAATTGTCTCATTTTGATTTTTAAACTTTTCTTCGTAGTACTCTTTAATTTTATAAAGGTTCACACGCTCTGTTGCTTTTGTTATTGCAATTTGTACAATGTAGTACGCTTTGTCCCTCAACTGCTCTTGTTGAATCCTCAACTGGTCTTGTTCAGTCCTCTTTACTTTTTTTAGCAATAAAAAGTACTGACACTGCAATTCATCTCCCTCCTCTATCAACTCTCCTGTTGATGCTTCTCTCAGTCTCTCTGCTATTTCCATTGTATAGGAAGGAGTTTCGATTGTTATTCCATTTACTTTAAGTCTTTTCATGTGTTCTTCATTGCTTAGGAATCTCATAACTTTGAGCAGGTGAACAGGAAAAATGGCATAAGTAATTAGTATGCATTTGTAGCCAATACTTTGGAGTAGGTGCTTGTTTTCTTTTAGAAATGGTATCCATTCATTTAGATCTTTTTTGTTTCGGGTTTTCCATTTTTGTGAAAGACTAATAACGACAATTGGTAGTCCTACAACAGTGCCTGGGTTTAAATGAGGGTTTTCATCGAAAACCTCAATTAATTGGTAAAAGGCAGGCTCTTCAATGAACTTACAATAGTGCTTCTCATACTCTAGTACTTCGTCTTGTGCTTCTTTGTACCTATCTCCACATATAACTTTTCTTGAGAATCTTATGAGGAGGCTATAATTTAAGTAACCAATGAAATGATTCTCAATGAGAAAGGCAAATACTTCATCCATGGTTGTAATCTTATCAATCAGCTTCTTGTAAAAGCTAATTCCATGTGACTGATTGAAGCACCTCTCCTGCAGTACATTTCTTAGCTGGTTCTTGACTATTCCAACGTTGGCATTTTTCGAGAGATCTTGTATCACCTGAAGAAGCTCGTCGTATTTTTCTTGTAATTGATACACCTGATGTGTTAGTACCCCTGATGCTTTCTCTACCATTGAAGACATAACTAGAAAAGAGAGAGTATAGTGGGATAAAGAGAGAGAGAAGGAATTTTGTTTTGTGTGTTGTGATTTCTGTAGTGAAGTAGAAACAAAATTACGTTAGGAAAGCAAACATGTTTATATGACAATAACTGTCATAACATTCAGAATACAAATTGACGAAAACATCACCTCTGAATTTATCAACAATTACAATTATTGATTAATTCAAAAGGGATATTTTTTTATCTGCATTCCTAACTGGGTACATGCACCTGAGCTATGTCTATTACAGTGACTCCTCAAAATTTTTTAGCCTTCATGATTATTGGTGGTGCATTAATTTGCACCCTGTTCCTACTCCAATGTACATTTTGTGTACGGTATGTACCTGTGCTTGTGCTCCAAGCAGGTGCACATGCTGTTGAAGTTGATGATTGTTCTGCAGCTCCTATATAATAGAATCTATTAATTTATTATTGTATTTGTTGCAGTTTGTAATGCTCTCTATATAATATTTTACCAATTTGAGTAGCTTCTGTTGTTTTTGTTTTCTCTTTCACTCTTTCTTCATATTCCTGAGCCATTCTGTCCTCTCCTATTACTTTGAGTCTCAGTACCTCAACCAGTTGATTGTGACTAGCTCCTGGTTGGCTGGCAAGCCAGAGACAAAACATCTGTCTTCTTTTATCTTGTGTCTCTAATCTGTCAGTCTCTATATCTTGCAGCATTTCCTCATCAACTCCTAGTTGTATGCCCAACTGATGCCATCTGCTTGTCCTCACTATAGCACACACAATTTTCAGATCTGGTTTACCATTCATAACTGCTCTAGCAAGCTGAGGAGAGAGAGGAAGTGTAGGAGAAGGACTTATTCTTTCTGCCATTGTCAGACCTTACATGTATTTTCCAACGGGGAATGTAATTTTATTGTTGCGTATACCAACAGGAAACTGAAATGAATAATACGATACAGCAAATAAACTGACCTTATGAAGTAATAATGTGTGATTATGCATAGGTGTGGGGGAAGCTAAATTTCCTGCTTTTCAGCAGGAGACCCGAACTTTTAGTAGATAAATAATCAGTATATCACAGCTTCACTTTGTAAAATGTGCATAGTGTTTGAGTTAAAGTCACAAAATAGCATTAAAATATGACCGGAATTAGGCATGCAGTATAGCTGTTGACAACACCTTTGACAGCACACATTAACCCATTTACAACAACGTAATCTACCCCACAATTGCCTCAGTTCAAATGTTCACAATGTCTATGTTTAGTTTATTTACCTAGTTTACATATCAGTGGCTTTTGTATACTAGGCCTACCTGCTTCTGAATACACCATTTGTGACCTACCATGAGAAATGAACTGGCAGGATATTTATGTATCTCTAACATGGAACTGTAAATAGTATACATAACATTTCCCACCAAACGTTTAATTTTTTAATAGTATAATAATAATAATCATAGTAGAATACTGGCAGTAGCTCTAGTACTATGATTATTATTATTATTATAGATGTAAAAACATTAAAAAGATGAACGTAAGCAAATGAGAAAAGTAAGGAAGAGAAACACTAGCAAAGGGATAGACAAATTTTCTCATAAGGAATATTTTGCCTATTATGTTTCTACTTCCATATCATACTTTGATATTTCTAATGTCTTTGCATACAGCAATTGACTAAAAATTATTACAGTTCTTGTAATTAATATCTATGCATTGTTCTTTACAGTATTATTTTTTATTACATTTTTAGGTGTAAGCATTTTATAAGGCACATCACAAGCTCATACCAGCAATTCTCACCGCACACTTTTAACACTGAAAGAGAAACAGTGGTAGGTATTTTATTCTTATATTTAGTACATGTATTATTTTCTTACCTTTTTTGTAAACTAGAGAAAGTAGTCTCTAGAGAAGCAGATCCATTGAGAAAAGTCTAGCTGATGCTATTAAGATTTAAATTTCATTTATTATCAAAAATTGACAGTATGAATTTTCAAAAATAGTGATCATTGTAGAAAGTTAAATTTTCCCTGCTGCCTTTCCATGTAATGTATACCATATAGTGTTTAATGTACAGTACATCAGAAATGGGGTAGTATGAGGTAAAGAGTATAAATTGACTAAAAATTTGTTTTAACACTTGTTTATGCCCTTACAATGAGGTTATTGGGTGTGGTTTACTGGTTTGTTGGCTGTACAGTAAATTATGAATTTTGGAAAGGAAATTTTGTAATTCAGCCTTTATTATATGTGTACTAGTAATTATGCAATGGTTATAATAACAATGTTTAGACCAACCAAATCCAATTTTTAATTGTAGAAATTATAGTCACTCAGTGTTTGTGTTCTTTAATTGGGAAAGGGGAATTATCTTGTATAGTGTAATTACTTCTCCAAAAATTTGCTACTTTTTAAAAATGGTCGTAGCTTGAAAATTTTTAGTTAGAATCATGTCACACTTTCTACATAGCATAAGGACATCAATGTGTATCAAAAAATGTAATAAAAATTTGGTGTGATTTTGGAGCCAATTTTCTGAAAAAACCATGGGCTATATATATATAGCCTTGGGTATTTTTAAGTAATTGACTCATTAAAAAAATACCATCACTTAAATAATTTTTGTTGGACTTTCCTTAAACTTTCTACATAGCATAAGGGCAGCATTATATATCAGAAAGTGTAATAAAAATTGCAGTGATTTTGAATTATTGTATAATAATATTATTGTTATTTTACTATTTATTTGATTCATGTCATCCTTCAGTGAGTAACTCTGACTCTTCACTGGCCAGTGACAAAAGAAAATAATAATAATTGATGATAAGGTACAAAACTAGAACTAACTTAAGTTATTTATTCCCTCCAGAAGGAATCAGCTGTAGCTATCTCCTCCATTATAGCAAGAGAGATGTAATTATAATAAGGTAAGTTGGTGTGGTTTGTGGGCAGAGCTTATGTTTTACTGTACTATAGATTGAAAATAGTGATAACTTTTTGAAAGTTTTGAAAGAAATTTTTTGTACTCCATCTACTGACAACCTTTTCGAAAGTATGTGTACATGTAAAATAATTAATAAAAATAATAATAAATAATAAATAATAGTATAAATAATAATAATGATAATAATAATAATACACATAATGATAATTAGTGCCCATAGTGTGGCCTCAATTATTCAAGTAATATTAAAATTTTGTGTAAATCTGTCACAGCTCGCAAGAATTTTTCAAAATATTTTACTTAGAGACTAGCTGAATAACAAAGAACTCTCTTTCAAATAAGGCCAACTGGCTTTATATATGCACAAATTATTAATAATTAGTTAATTAATTAATATACATTAATGGTAATAATCCAGTTTCTATACAGTTCCATGACAAAATCGCTAAAGGTTGTAATGCAAAAGTTACTGTGGTATGTAATACATGACTCTGCTGGTGCAGGATGATCTTTGTGTAGTGTAACCACTGTCAAGGCCACTGACTATATCGTCATAATCATGGGATGTCCTTAGAATAGGTTTTTTCAACGAAGCTTTTAGCATAGTCTTAACTTTTTTTGTCGAAGCTTTTCTTTTAATCTCTGGGTCGAGACCCCTTTCTGATCTTTTGCGTTGATGTATTCTTTCAATCCTTTCAGTATCAGCCTTGAGTAACTCCAGTACATCCTCAAAAATCTGCTTTTGAATTGTATTTAACTTTTCCTCATAGGACGTCTCAAATTCATCACGTGTCACACGCTCTGTTGCTCTTGTTACTGCAATCTGTACAATGTAGTATGCCCTGTCCCTCAACTGCTCTTGTTCCATCCTCTTTACTTTTTCCAGCAATAAAAAGTACTGACACTGCATTTCATCTTCCTCCTCCTCTACCAACTCTTCTGTTGATGCTTCTCTCAGTCTCTCTGCTATTTCCATTGTATATGAAGGAGTTTCGATTGTTATTCCGTTTTCTTTAAGTCTTTTCATGTGTTCTTCATTGCTTAGGAATCTCATAACTTTGAGCAGGTGAACAGGAAAAATAGCATAAGTAATCAGTATGCATTTGTAGCCGATACTTTGAAGTAGGTGCTTGTTCTCTTTTAGAAAAGATATCCATTCGTTTAGATCTTTTTTATTTCTGGTTTTCCACTGTTGCGAAAGGCGAATGACAACAATCGGTAGTCCCACAACAGTGCCTGGGTTTAGATGAGGGTTGTCATCAAAAACCTCAATGAGTTGGTAAAAGGCAGGCTCTTCAATGAACTTACGATAGTGCTTCTCATACTTTAGTACTTTCTTTTGTGCCTTTTTGTGCCCATCTCCACATATAACCTTACTTGAGAATCTCATTAGAAGATAATAATTTAAGTAACCAACAAAGTGATTCTCAATGAGAAAAGCAAATACTTCATCCATGCTTGTAATCTTATCGATTAGCTTCTTGTAAAAGCTAATTCCATGTGACTGATTGAAGCACTTCTCCTGTAGTACATTTCTTAGCTGGTTCTTGACTATTCCTACGTCGGCATTTTTTGAGAAACCCTGTATCAGCTGTAGGAGCTTGTCATATTTTTCTTGTAATTGATACGCCTGATCTGTTAGTACATCTGATGCTTTCTCTACCATTGAAGTGATAACTGGGAAAGAGAGGGCTTTATGATTTTACAATAGTGACATTTGCAATCAATAAATTTCATGCTGTGTATACCTGTGCTTGTGCTCCAAGTAGGTACTGTTAAAGATGTTGATACTTGTGCAACTTGAGCTCCTAAGTCTATATGAAATATTTATTAATCTGTGGCCTTTTCAAAATTTTTTTACATTTAATGTAAATACCATCTATCTGGAAAGTTTTACTGTAATTTAAATTTTACTGGATTAGAATTTCACAAAAAATTAGATTACCCATATCATTACATGCCACATTCAATAATACATGACACAGTCTTATTTAGTAAAAATTAAATCACTAAAACACAAAAATTTTCTACCACACTAATTTTCTGATCTATACGGTAGTTTATACCTGTTTGAGTAGCTTCTGTGGTTTTAGATGCTTCCTCCTTCACTTTTTCTTCATATTCCTGAGCCATTCTGTCCTCTCCCATTACTTTGAGTCTCAGTACCTCAACCAGTTGATTGTGACTAGCTCCTGGTTGGCTTGCAATCCAAAGACGAAACATCTGTGTTCTTTTATCTTGTGTCTCTGATCTGTCATTCTCTATATCCTGCAGCATTTCCTCATCAACTCCTAGCTGTATACCCAACTGATGCCATCTACTTGTCCTAACTATAGCACACACAGTCTTAAGAGCTGGTTTACCATTCATAACTGAGCTCAAGCTGTTAGGAGGGAGAGGAGGAGTAGGAGAAGGACTTCTTTTTTCAGCCATTGCAGCAGGTCGTTTTATCTTTTCAGGGTTCAATAGTTACTAACCTCTTAATCTTTTTCAAACAGCAGTGGTATATCACATATGACTGTTGTGATAACCTAAACTGTCACAACTGTAGTACAATTGATAGTATTGTTATCTTGCATCATTGACTAATTCCCTCATAAGGAATTCCTGCACATGACGAGCTTATATCAGCACTGAATTCTCACCCTACACTTTTAATACAAAAAGAGAAACAGTGGTAGGTATTTTATTGTTCTATTTATTATTATTTTCTTTCCTTTTCTCTTTTGTACACTAGAGAAAGCAGATCTATTGAGAAAAGTCTGATGCAATTATAAGACTTCAATTTCATTTGTTATCAAAAATTGACAGTATGAATTTAAAAAAATTATTATGTCGGTAGAAAGTTAAATTTTCCCTGCTGCATTTTGCCATGTAATGTATACCCTATAGTGTTTAGTGTACATGTACATCAGAAATGGTTTAGTATGAGATAATTTAAAGAGTATAAATTGATTACAAATTTATTTCGAAACTTGTTTATGCCCTTACGTTTACAATTGTTATTGTTATTTTACTATTTATTTGATTAGTATCATCCTTCAGTTAGTAAATTTGACTCTTCACTGGCCAGTAAAAGAAAGAGAATAATAATAATGGATGATAAAGTACAAAACTAATTCCTAACTTAAGTTATTTATTTCTTCCAGCAGGAATCAGCTGCACCTATCTCCTCCATTATAGCAAGAGAGCTTATGGTAATTATAATAAGGTAAATTGGTGTGGTTTGTGGGGTGGAACTTATGTTTTGCTGTACTATAGATTGAAAATAGTGACAATTTTTGGAAGTTTTGAAAGAAATTTTTTGTATTCCATCTATTGACAACCTTTTTGAAAGTATGTGTACACTAAATAATTAATAATAATAATAATAAATAATAAATAATAGTAATAATGATAATAATGATAATAATAATAATAATACACATAATAATGATAATTAGTCCCCATAGTGTGGCCCCAATTATTCAAATAATATTAAAATTTTGTGTAAATCGTTAAAGGTTGTAATGCAAAAGTTACTGTGGTATGTAATGCATGACTCTGCTGGTGTAGGATGATCCTTGTGTAGCGTAACCACTGTCAAAGCCACTGACTATATCGTCATAATCATGGGATGTCCTTGGAATAGGTTTTTCCAAAGAAGCTTCTAGCATCGTCTTAATTTTTTTTGTCGAAACGTCTGTTGAAACTTTTTTTTTCATCTCTGGGTCGAGGCCTCTTTCTGATCTCTTGCGTTGATGTATTCTTTCAGTCCTTTCAGTATCAGCCTTAAGTAACTCCACTACATCCTCAAAAATCTGCTTTTGAATTGTATTTAACTTTTCCTCATAGGACGTCTCGAATTTGTAACGTGTCACACGCTCTGTTGCTCTTGTTACTGCAATCTGTACAATGTAGTATGCCCTGTCCCTCAACCGATCCTGTTCAATCCTCAGCCGGTCTTCTTGAATCCTCTCTACTTTTTCAAGCAGTAAGAAGTACTGATACTGCATTATATCTGAGGTATCTTCTTCCTCCTCTAGCAACTCTTCTGTTGATGCTTCTCTCAGTCTCTCTGCTATTTCCAGTGTATACGAAGGAGTTTCAATTGTTATTCCGTTTTCTCTAAGCCTTTCCATTATTTTTTTGTTGCTTAGGAATTTCATAACTTTGAGCAGGTGAACAGGAAACATGGCATAAGTAATTAGTGTGCATCCTTTTCCAATACCTTGGAGTATGTGCTCGTTCTCTTGCAAGAATATCGTCCATTCATTTAGATCTTTTTTGTTTCGATTTTTCCACTTTTGTGAAAGGCAAATGACAATAATTGGTAGCCCCACGACAGTGCCTGGGTTTAAATGAGGATTTTCGTCGAAAAACATAATCAGTTGGTAAAAGGCTGGCTCGTCAATGAACTTACGATAGTGTTTCTCATACTTTAGTACCTTCTCTTTTGCCTCTTTATATTGATCTCCACATATGACCTTGCTTGAGAATTTCATGAGGAGGTAATAGTTTAAGTAACCAATGAAGTGATTCTCAATGAGAAAAGCAAATACTTCATCCATGCTTGTGATTCCATCAATCTGCTGCTTGTAGAAACTAAGTCCATGTGACTGATAGATACAATTGTCTTGCAATATATTTCTTAGCAGGTTTTTGACTATCCCTACATTAGCGTTTTGTGATAGTTCTTGTATTTTGAGAAGAAGCTTGTGATATTTGTCTTGTAATTTATATGCTTGATCTGTTAGTAAATCTACTTCTAATACTTTTTGTGTGATTGAATTGATAACTGGATGGAGAAAGAGAAAGGGGGAGGGGGTTGACGAAAAGAGAGAGGAAATGCTTTAAACCTTTGTATTATTGACTTTGTATGTTTTGTGATTTTGTATAAAGAGTAAATCTAAAAATTTTCTCTACTCATGTGTTGTGTCTGATGTGTAGATATGCATAGTTTGCATACCTGTGCTTGTGCTCCAAGCAGGTGCCGTTGAAGTTGATGCTTGCACAACTTGAGCTCCTGTATACATAATAATATTGATTTTAAGCATACCATTTTTACAGTTTGGAATTTTTGTGTGTATGATTTTTGTTGGCTTTTATTTCATACCTGTGTGATGGGTTTTAGATGCTTCCTCCTTCACTTTTTCTTCATATTCCCGAGCCATTCTGTCCTCTCCTATTACTTTGAGTCTCAGTGCCTCAACCAGTTGATTGTGACTAGCTCCTGGTTGACTATTGATCCAAGCACAAAACATCTGTGTTCTTTTTTCTTGTGTATCTGATTTCTCTGAATCAATTTCTTGGAGCTTCTTGTCATCAACTCCTAGCTGTAGACCCAACTGATGCCATCTGCTTGTCCTCACTATAGCACACACAGTCTTCAGATCTGGTTTACCATTCATAACTGAGCTCAAGCTATTGAACACTAAACTGTAGCTTAGGAGGAAAAGGGCATATCTGCGTATCTATTGCTGAAATAGAGGGAATTCATTGTTAGTTTTTATTCATAAGTTATTGTTTGTTTAATGACCACGTTATCACAGTGCAACATAGGCAATATGTTATATACAGCATTGCAAAAATAGAATAGATGTTTATTGTATTCAAGATTGCTATCAACATTTTGCCTTGGTTGTGCTCTTGGATTTTGTGTATAGCCCTTTTATCATGTAAGCAACATGATAACCAAGAAAAGAGTCTATTTTATTTTTGCTTGACAATAAAACCATGGCTTTGTTACATGGAAGAGGTAACAAAGCCTTGCAAATTGATTAAAGCAAAGTTGCCTAGCAGATATTTGGCTTCAAAAGTCTATGTGGGCAACATAGAATTTAATGAAGTTCCCTAATGGACTAAGTTCCAGATTTATTTTTAGCTTTAGGAATAAATTAGAATAACCCTACCCCGGCTATGACTTTACAACCTGCATTTTTATAGATGTGTACCATTTTATTAAGAAACAACACATTGAACACTTTTATGAAGCATATCATTCTCATACTGGCAAACACCATCCACTGTCAGTAAGAGGTAAGAGAGAGGGAGAGAGAATTGATTTTATTGTTATTATTATTAGGTGAAAAGAGAGAAAGCAAGGAGCAATCTAATGATGAACCATTGAGAAAGAAACTCTAAATCGAAGTTACTTCATTATATCTATTTATAAAATTTTAATTATGCATACATTTACGTTGCATTCCAATTATGAAGGATGTTATGTATAATCATTGTCAGAAACAATAGTGCTTCGATTTTTGTATTTTTAAAAATATAGTTTTTAATATGTAATGTACCGTATTCTAATTTTGAAACAGTAAAGTGCTCATATAGAGTTTGTGTAAAATTAATCTTATTAAAATTACAATTGTTTTTTGACAGCTCATTCACAAAATTGACATCCAACTAATTAATCTACAAGAGGTATATCATTATTATTTTTTTAATTATTGTTGTTATTATTATAGTAAAATACAAGAATCTAGTATGGTTTATTGAGGTCTGAAGGTATAAACAAGGTATATACAGATACATTTTGATTATTATTAGATCTATTATTAATTTCATTAGTTTGAGTTGCACACCTCAGATTGACCACTGTGACCACAAAAAGAAAAAATATACATAATGATCAAATAACTAACAATTCTCACTATCCCCCCTTTGTCTCCCTTAGCAAAAATCTGCTGCAACTAATGTCTTCTCTGACTCCCTGTTTTTGCTGAAATTTATGGCATAATAAATAGGTAAGTAGTGGGTCTGGTTTGTGGGTTGAGTTAATGCTTTTACTAGACTGAAGATTTTAAGAAATTTTGATGTGAGGTTTTTGCTCTATTTCTACCTACTGTCAAGCTAGTCTTGCCGACTACTGTCAAGCATGGATCTATTATACATGTAAGTAATAATTTTTCAATTTAATAGTTATGAGCGACATGTATGGCATCAATTATTAAAGTAATTAATGTGTTTGATCATTAAAATATAACGAAAAGTCACTCATATTTCACTATCAATACTAAGGCCACTGTCTGTGCTTGGAAAAGATTTTTGAGAAACCTCAAGTTTTTTTGATGAGACTTTTATTGATACTTTTCTTCTAATTTCTGTACTAAGTACTCTTTCAGAAGTTCTCTTACGATCCTCTATTCTTTCCTTCATTTGTATTTCTGACTTAAGTGAATCAATTTCTTCTAAAAGCTGTTGAACTTTATCTTCATAGGCTTTACTCTGTACAAAAATTGTCTCATTTTGATTTTTTAACTTTTCTTCATAGTACTCTTTAATTTCATGAAGGTTCACACGTCCTGTTGCTTTTGTTATTGCAATTTGTACAATGTAGTATGCCCTGTCCCTCAACTGCTGTTGTTCAGTCCTCAATTGCTCTTGTTGAATCTTCAACTGGTCTTGTTCCATCCTCTTTACTTTTTCCAGCAATAAAAAGTACTGACACTGCAATTCATCTTCTTCCTCCTCTAGCAACTCTTCTATCGATGCTTCTCTCAGTCTCTCTGCTATTTCCATTGTATATGAAGGAGTTTCAATTGTTATTCCATTTTCTTTAAGTCTTTTCATGTGTTCTTCATTGCTTAGGAATCTCATAACTTTGAGCAGGTGAACAGGAAAAATGGCA